GTATTTAAATTAGCTTAGACTTTTAAAAGCTTTATATAAGTAAATTAAGGCTTTTAAAGCTAGTATAGAAGGCATAAATTACTTAGTAAATAATAAAGTATAAAAGTAAAAAGTAAATTTATAGTTATACATAATAGTATTACAACTTTATAGACATTACACTAGGGAGGTCTAATAGCAAGCTGTTAGACACCTCTAAACTCTTCTCTACCTCCTTCTCTACTTTTTTTTCTCTTCTCTCTCCTCTTCTCCTTCCTTTTTAGACTCTTTTTAAACCCCTTTTACTTTATTCTTAGCTGCCTAAGAGCGCTGTAATGTCTACTTAAAAGTTAGACACTAGAGCCTTTAGGGCTAAAACCTAATAAAGCAGCTTAGAGTTTTAGTAGAATAAGGCTACCTAGACACTAGCTATAGAAAGACTAGCTTTCTAACTTTTTATAACTTACGCTACTTGCGCTAGGTTCTAAGCAAACTTTAAAATAGCTTTAAAAGCCCTTTTTTTATTATTTTTACTTTCTGCGTTTTAGGCTGCTGCCTATAGCTTAAAATAGCTTTAAAAGACTAAGAATTTCTTTTTATAATATAAAAGAACCTACACGCGTGTTAGTAAACTATACCCTAGCTATATTAAACTATATTTATATAAAGTTACATTTTTTATTGCATAAGGTGTAATACTTATATTTTTTTAATTTAAAGGACTAAAAAGAGAACTTAACTTAAAGGCTATAGGCTAGAGCGTAGGCAGCCTAAAGGCAGATAACTTAAAACACCTCTAAAGAGGCTTTAGAAAGGGGGTAAAGCAGTATAGTAATTTTTTTTAATGCTATAATTAGTTAGTAGACTAAGCTATAAAATATTAGGTGTATAATAATACCTATAAAGTAGAGATTTAGATAATAGCTAAAAAAGAAACTAACAATATTAACTAGACTATATAAGTAAGGCAAGTAAACACTTATTACTATAAATAATAAATTTACTATATTAATAATAACTACACTACTAGTTACTACTAAATAAAAACATTATAACAAAGGCATTATATTAGTATTAGGTTTTTAGTCTATTTCTTAGTAATAAGAAATTTTAGTTAAGATAGTTATACTTATTATATTTTATTTAAATTAGTTTTAAAGCATTTTTAAATACTTTCTAAACACTGCAGATAGAGACTATTAGCCTATAAAAAGGGGGGTAGTGTAATAATTCTATAAATTATTCTATCTTAGGTTGCTTAGATCCTATCTAAAGGGTCTCTGTATTAGCCCTAACTATAACTTAACCTAGTCCCCTACAGTTACCCCTATTCTCTTATGTATTTAGTCGCACCTTGCCCCTGTAGCTAGCTTAGTAGTTTTCTAATATCCTTTTGTACTAGGCCTATAGGTGTTAATGGCATTCCCAGGTTCAGAGTCCCCACGCACTCCCATATGCCTCTGAGTGGATTCCCACCGCATTTGGACCCATTGTCTTGCCTGCGCCGTTACAACTAGTAAGTAACTTATTACTATTACTTAAGCTTTCAGGCTTAAGAGTAATTTACTAAAATTACTACTTAATAAGGGTTTTACATCTACTGCTTACTTACTTAATTAAGCACTAGTTAAAGCACTTTATTAGCACACACTATATAAGCTAGTATATAAATAGAAACCTTCTATTACTTATCTAGCTCTAATTAAATGCTGCGCATATGTACATAATAAGCACTTTAAATACGTGGACAAGCTTAAATCTAAAGCTCTAATAGGCTACCTAGTTAGATATAACTTAACTAACATCTATAAAATCTAGCTACTACTAAATAATTAAGTTATTTAAATATATAATGTTATCTTTAACATAAATTTGTTTTACATAAGCACTAAATAAAAGAATTATATTAATTCTTTATATATATAGGTTTTTAATATACTAGAAGTTGATAATAATGCTAAGAACTTTTTTTAAGCATTGGCTTACTTTTTTTTAGTTACTAAACACACTAGTAAAGCTTAAAAAGCAGACTTATAAAAGTAATAAAAGCCCTACGCCTACTTAGCTTTTAACGCTAGAGAGCTTTATATAAAGCTTTAAATTACCTGCACTTATGCATAGCTATAAGTATTATCTAGCACCTTTATAATTAAATAAGAATAAAAGCTCTTAGCAGCTAGCACATAAAATAATAGAAGCATTTAATACTAGGTTAAATAATAACCTTGTTACCTTTATACATTAGCTACCTATTACCCCTGTATATAATCTTAGGCATAGACTAGACTTTAACAAAAACAACACGCTAAAAGTGTAATCTTTTAATATTAATAAGTTAAACATTATTAGCAACAGCTACACTACGTGCTTAAAGTAGTATAGCACCTACTTTATAGCCTTTGCTAACTTTATTATTAAGGTGCACTTTTATTATAATTAGCTATCTCTACTACTAGAGCACTATTATAATCTAATAAAACACCTACATATAGCTAAATTTTAAGCAACTATGTGTATAAAGATAGACAGCTACTAGTCTAAAAGCTGCTTTAAGTGTGCTAGCAAATTTATAATAAAAGCTACCTTTACTAAGATCCTACTACTTTAATAAGTATATGCATATAAATTTAATAAAGATAGCTACTTATCTAAATTTAAAGCTAAAATCTGCGTATAAGAAGACTTTAAAGAATAATAAGGTAATACCTATGCTGCTACTGCAGCTACTTGCATTTTTAAAGCTCTAATAGCTTTTATAGCTGCATTTAAACTAACTTTTTAATAATATAATGTTACTAACACTTTTTTTAATGCTAAACTCTTTAAATAACTGTTCTGCTGTGCACCTAAAGGTTTTTAAGCAGAATACAAAGAGTACCTAGAGATACTGTAAGCTCTATATAGACTTAAAGAATTACCTTACTTCTAGTATCTAGAGCTTAAAATAACACTTAATTAGCTAAAACTTTATAAGATTTTTAAAGCTTTTTACTTATTTATTAATAATAAGCTTATTATACTAGTATACATTAATAACATTATACTACTATACTACCTTAGTAATGCTAAAGCTGCTAAGCAATTTAAATATAATCTTTAGCATATGTATAATATTAAGAAGCTTAGTAAACTAAAATAGTTTTAAGTATTTAAGTTATAAAAACTACTAAATCTATCTACTTAGTCTAAGACTTCTTTATTAATAAGATTGCTACTAAATTTAATATAGAGTAAAGTAGAAAACAGCTACCTAACATACCTCTACGTAAAACTCTAGAGCTCTTTCCTAAGACTACTAATAATAGAAGGACTAAGCTCTATTAACAGCTAGTAGGCTTACTTGCCTACATAGCATTATTTACACAACCTGATATTGCGCATGCGCACTTAATACTAGCACGCTACCTTACTAATCCTAGTTAAAAGCACCTAGATGCAGCCCTGCATTGCTAGCGCTACCTACAAAACATCTTGCAATAGAAGCATTAAGAAACTTTTAAAATAGCGCATTCTAGAAGCTTAATTATGCAGAGCCCTAGTTCTATAGTGCATTAAACGCTGTATTTGTAGATAATCTAGTAACTTGTTAAAGCTCTTATAAACATTTATTTAAGCTTTTTAGTCTCGTAGTAGACTAGAAAGCTACCTTGTAATAAACTGTTACTAAATTAACTATAGAGGCAAAGCTCCTAGCTCTCTTGCAAGCTAGTACTAACATAGAGTAGTAGAAGCTATTCTTTACACAACTTTAGCTTTTAATTAATAATACCCCTACTATCTAGTGCAATAATTAGTAGATAATTAGAATTGTTATAAAAGATCTATTAAAGCTTTAAACTAAGCTTAAGCATGTTAACATACACTAGAGCTAGTTACAACAAGAGATCTCTGCTAGTAGACTATAGGTTAACTAGAAACCTACTGCTAAGATGCCTGCAGATGGTCTTACTAAGTTGCTACTAGGACAAAAATATAAAAAGTTTGTATAATAATTAGGTTTAGAGGACATCTCTACTAACCTCCCTACATCTCTTTAACTATTTACTATATAAATTGCTTATAAATCTATCTATCTTTTGTTTAGCTTTTATTTTGCTTAATTACTCACACATTTGCTTTATTTTAAGCTGGGGGTGTGTGTTTACAGTGGTGACACTCAGATGCGTCGTTAGTATAGTCACACGATAGTCGGATGTGTCGTTACATGATGGTCGGATGCATCGGCGCCATAGTCGTATGCATCTCAGCACGGTCTGTTGCTAAGACTCACCCACTTATTTCGCACATATATAGACTCCTACAAAGGACTCCTCTAGCAAGACATTTAATGCAGTTCCTCATGCCTCTAGTGCCTTACATAGCTTTACTGTATACCTAGATAGTTTTTTTTCTTGTTGTAGGTTATCTACCTTTTCTACAGCTATGTTTTCTTTATCTACTAAGCTATAGATTATTATTAGAGCCTTTTTAAACACTTATATAGTAGTAAAGATCTTGCTAGTTTCTTTTTAAAAGTGTTTACTAAATTCTTAATAGTTTCTCTAGTTGTTAGCGTGTAGTTAGAACTATACAGCTAAGTTGCTATTTAAATATAGTTCTATCTACTGTATTATTTCTTTGTTAGTTTAAAATGCCTCTTAGTTGTAGTTTATATAGAGGGCGCATTAAGTAAAAAATAGTTTTAAGTTTCTAGCATTCTTATTAAATGCTTTAGAAGATGCTAGCTGTATTAACTTTTTAGCAGCTATGTTATTCTTTTCTCTTAACATATTACAAAGGTTAGTAATTTCTAATTACATGTTATTAATCTGCTTTTTTAGCTTGTTCTTATTAGCTATTAGTGCTAGAGTACTTTCTAATAGTGTAACTTCTACTATTAAAGTATTAATAAGAGAGTTTGTACGATTTATACTTTATAGAAGGGATAGCGATTAATGTTACAATATCTACTTACTAGGTATGCTACTGTAGGCTTAGCTTATACTATTTAGTACGCGAGCCTAGAGAGGAGAGTGAATGTGGTTAGAAAGGAAGAATAAGGCACTAGCACAGGTGTATAGTCTGTAGCGTTACGTTATGTAGAAATTAGAGGTTAGGCTGGTTGTAGTTTTACCTCTTCTGCTAGTATAGAGAGCAGCGGAAACAATCTTAAGAGGAGACAATAAGAGAGTATATATGTGTATAATATATAACAGTTGTAACGGCGCAGGCAAGACAATGGGTCCGAATGCGGTGGGAGTCCACTCAGAGGCATATGGGAGTGCGTGGGGACTCTGAACCTGGGAATGCCATTGACACCTATAGGCCTTGTACGAAAGGATATCAGAAAACTACCGAGCTAGCTACGGGGGCGAGGTGCGACTAAATACATGAGGGAATAGGGGTAACAGCAGGGGTCGGGGCCAGGTCGAGGTCGGGGCCGATACAAGGGCCTTCCGGAGGTTCCGGGCGACTCGAGATGGAACGATTCATGAGGATCGTTACAACAGTATAGTGTTGTTAAAAACTACTATACTACTTAGTCTAATGTAAAGAGAAGACTAAATGTTAATTATTATCTTTTAAGTAATAGTTAAGATTAAGACTATATACATAGATCTTGTCTGTTCCGTCTGTTGTAGCTGTTGTGTCTGCAGGTCTACAAGCTGCAGTCACTGCAGTTGTTGCAGCCATTGCAGTCACCATTTCTAAGCTGTTATCCTCGTCCTAAAGACTTCTAGCTAGTCACGTGTTCTTCCTGTTGCGCCGCTAGGAAGAAGTTCTACCACTAGTTGTTGTATAATCTAGTAGCTGCTAGACACTCGCTTATAGTCTACTCAGGGACTGTAACAAGTATGCGTAGCTTAAGTACCTTATATAAGCTTAAAGCATATAAGATTAAATTAATCTAGACGCACTACTATAGCCTAATCTAATAAGTAAAGCACTTGTAATCTCTAATCTTAATATAGCTAACTTAGAAGCTCTACGCCTCTATTAGATTAAGGTATTAATATACACGTAGCTTTTTGTAAAGCTCTAGATGCTGTAGAACTAGGTATATACAATAGTAAACTTATAATTACTTAAGTTAGTAACTTTATAAGTAATTAGTTACTTTATTTACTTATTAAAAAGCTTAAAAGAGACTTTTACTTATGTAATAATAACTAAAAAAAAGTAAGTATAAATAACTTATTAAAAAGTTATTTTATACTTAGTATTACAAAAGAATTAGTTACTAGCATACTAGCTACTTAAATAAACATAAGCTTATGCTAATATAAAGCTTATTTATTTTAAAAAGGTTAAAATTGTACTGTTTATTAAAAACTTTCTCTACTTAGCTACTAAATATAAGTATAAGTAGGCTTAATATAAGCTAGACTCTCTAGCTTACTAAAGTGTAACTACTAATACTTTTATGCTTAAGCAGTACACTGCTTAGTTCTTCTAGCTTATATAAAATAAAAAATAGCTTAAAAGTATATATAGTATTTAAAGGAAAATTAACGTACACTATAGACAAGTTGCTTACACACCTAAGTTGCTTACTTTTGCTAAGACTCTACTAAACTACTTTTTCTATACTAATGCATTCTTAACAACACTACTTAGACGCGCTAAAAGAACATTAGATACAGCTTACACTCTAGGCTTTTAAATAAGACATAACACTTTTAAAGTAACATGCTATAGCTATATATAAGGTCTTTTAAAAGATAATAAATAACTAATACACTAGACAACTTTTATAAGCTAATTCTATAGCTAACTTATAAAGACTAGATAATAATAAAAAGTGCATAATTATTAAGCATATACTTAGGCTATATGTGTAAGGATTTTTCTTTTAGCTAGCAACTATAGCTAATATAGCTAATTCTTTACACGCTAAGCATATTCTAGGCTATGTTAGCATAAACTAGTCTAGTGTGTTTAAAAAGTGTTATCTAAAGCTTAAAGTAAAGTTGTAAGTGTAAGTATAGTAAGTAGATATCTAGTTTATTATAAAGCCTATCTTGTTTTAGGTCTAGCTAGACTAGCAGTATACTAAATAAGGCGTTACTTATTTTTTCCTATATACTAACTGCGTATGCAAAGAGCTTGCCGTTTTCTACAATCTAAGTGTTTTATAATAGTTACTCTACTTTCTTTTATTCTTTTACTATTTTTTATTACTGTTCTTGCTTTTTTAGTAGTTCTGTCTAAGCTTCTCTAAAAGCTCTATCTAAGCTCTTCTAGCTGCTCTGTCTACGCATTTTACTCTCTCTCTGCTCTTTTAGCTTCTTTTGTTACTCTTAACAAGCTAGAGGGTGTGTCGCGTAAGAAGAGCACAGGGACCTAGTGTCGCGCCTGTGTTTAGAACGTGCAGCCTGAGACACTTAGCGCTTAAGCTTCTACTGCGTAGGCAGGCTCTCTAAAAGCCTCTTATAGTTAATAGACTTGCTTCTTATTACTCTCTAATTAATAGTTGCGATAATAAGCTAGTGTTAGTGTAATAAAAAATTACTAAGCTTTAAGTAGCTAATAAAGCTACTATATAATGTAAACTGTATAAAAAAAGTAAATTAAAGTAAAAAAAGCTTTAATAGTTTAAAAAAACTTATACTTAATAACTTTAAAAAAGTTTAAAGCGTGAAGAAATAAAAAAAAGCAAAAAGGTAAGTATAAGCTAAAGCAAGTAAGCTATTCTAAAGGCGCTGTAAATAGAGTAATTAGAGTAAGCATAACATATAAATGTGTAAGTAAAAAGTAGAAGTAGTTTTTAAATAATATTCTAGGCTATACTGTACTATATAGTGCTAGAGCAGGTTGTTATAGGCTATAATAGAGTGCGTTGTAGTAGGCCTAGCAAAAGTAAGCGGCTTAGATGTGTAAGCAACTCGCTTGTAGGGTCTGTTAGCAAAGTAAGAAAATTTTGCCTAGCAATAGCAGCTAAGATACACTAACGCTTGTACTATTTTCTCTTAGACCCCCTAGAGTGATTTTTTAAGCATGGCGTAGTAGCGCAAAGACTCTTTGACAATTAGTACTACCTATTCCCAATGCCAGATCCTCTGGAGGGCATGGCTTGAGGGATAACCCCAAACAGCCCATCTAAGCAGCAGCTTGTTCTTAAGCAGAACAATCCGCACCCAAAGAGCCACCTTCACGGACAAAGCACGATGGTCAAGACAGATCTGGTGAAGGTGCAAGAAAAGCAAATAGTGGATGAGAAGAGGCTCCTGGGCCACGTGCTGCCCGGGATGGAGCAGCAAGGTGGTATGGCGGGTCGCTGTACAGTAGGTGGTCGGAAGGACTGAAAGGTAGGTGGGGCATGGGCTGAGAATATGTACGATGAAGGTTGTTCGCTCCTATATATATACACACTTCCTGATGCCGTGCCGAAATGGCACCAGCAGGTTTCGGGTGACTCTTCTTTCACAGCGTAGATCAGCCAGCGATGGACTATCTTGGTGCGCAAGGCATTAGTCGGCGTTCTTTTTTTGCACTTAGGGTTAGCTTAGAGCACAGAAGGGTGGCGTTAGCTTGTCCTGGATGCGAGTTTTGGTCCACCTTTGAGTGGCAAATGGTTGTGGGGAGTTTGTACAACGAGCTGGTTGTGTGAACATAATACTTAAGTGGTAAGGAAAGTCGACACAGTCGTCACAACGCTCCCATTCCCTCTTCCTTTCCTTTTCCATTTATAGATTCTCACCTGTCATTTTAGCAGTTCGAATTCCTTTGGCATTTCACTTCCCTCGACCCAGGCCCTTACACCTTGGGCGAACAGTTCTGGGAGTTGCAAGTCCCACAAGTGAACCGCGTCCCTCACCACGAATGCCTTGCACTCTGGATTCGTGTTCGCGAGCACCTTCCCTGCTTCCCTCGTCCGTTCAACACTATCCTTCTTCCCACCCGCCACGATAGCGATCCTCACGCCCCGGATCTCAGCAACCTTCCCTATGGTCACCTCAGTACACGCGCCGTAGCCCGCCCTCAGCAGCTCTATGGAATGGTTCCTTCGCATCTCCTCCCTGAGCCTCGGAAACGGTTGCACGCCGATATAAGACCAGAACATCCACTCAGGAGTGAGCTTGCCCGATAGGATCTCTATCCCTCCCATCAGGCGCGGGCGCGAGATGAACCATTTCCTGTACCCACTCAAGGGCGCGCACCCGGTGCAGAACAGGCTGAGCACCAACTCCGGACACCGCCGCGCAAACTCCAGCGCTACGAAACCGCCGAGCGACAGGCCGACGATGTGCGCCCTGCCGCTTGCGACTTTCGTCGAGACGAGATGGGAGAGCGCGTTAATCGCGTTGTCAAGGGTGAAGGGAAGGATGTCCCTCGACCCCGAGTGCCCTGGCTGGTCGACGAGGATGAGTTCGTAGTCCTTGGAGAGGAAAGGGGTGGTGTGGGAGAATTCCATGTGGCAGGTTGAAAGGCCATGGAGGAAGACAATGGGGGCATGGGATGGATCCTTGCCATTAGGCTCTATCGAGGGGGATAGACGGGTGTAAGAGATTTCTAGGTTTGCCCCTTTGGGGCTGCATTCTTGGGAGGACATTGTGTTGTTCCTAGGAAGAGTTGGTGAACGGAGTATAATCAAGTCTGGGCTTGGGAGGAAGCCATGCATGGTAGTGCGATGAACCACCTGATTGGAATTCGTATTTTCAAAGGACACTATGACGCAATAGCGGATAAACCTAAATTGACTAGCTAGAGTGCTTGACAGAGAATTCCACAAAGGTTGATTCACAGCCCAAGCCTCCCTGGGCGTCTTTCTCAAAGCCAACCAAGTTTCCCTTTCTGTTTCACGCAGCCTAAGTTTGCTAGCATAATTGTTTCGATCGTTCCTTGTTGCGCTGGCTCGCTTTCAGTTTTTTCACTTCCCGCAACCCATTTCCCCCGACCCACTCATTAAACACCCAACTCTAACAATTCACTCACTACCAGAGCTACCTTGGAGGGTATCCGGATGACTTGGACCTTGGTTTCTAACATACTCTTGCCGACCTTCACCTGGCCTCATCGTGTTCTGGGGTCAGTCGCGCTAGCCTCATCGATTCCGCCCGCTCCACAGCGCGCCCATCAAACCATCCGCCGACTCGTTGGCTTTCTCCCTTCATATCTACCTCGCCTCTCTCGTCGCTACTGTACTTGGGTGGGCATTGAATTCAAAAATCAAATTGTGCAGCTTCCGTTCGGGATAGTGTTGAAATGGTCAGATGGTACACGGCTTGAGGAAGTCTCGGCTATGATGATTGCGCGTTCTGCTGGTGTCCCCGGTGCCGTTGGCCATTTCATATGGTGACCATCCTAACACTTCTCATGCGCCTTTATCAATTCTTATGACACGGTTCCTCGGAAAAGACTTGGGACTAGCGCACAAACACCTGAACGAAAAAGAGCTGCAAACCATATCCAATGAGATGCACGCTATGCAAATCGCCATGCAGAGTTGGCCTCACCCTTGGGGAGGGGAGCGTATCTGTTCAGTCATGGGGACGTCTATCAGAAGCGCGCCTGTTCCAAACCATTCGATTGGGCCATGCGAGTCAGAATCTAAGTTCAATGACTATCTACCCAGCGTTGCTTCTGAATATCATTCTCCATCTCGAGATGTATTTGAGCAGAGGCTTGCCTGTGTAAGGAAGCTACACTCTGTACACCATCCTATTGTTTTTACGCATGGTGACCTGAAGCACCACAATAGTATGGTTCATAATGGCCATGCATCAGGATCTATTAATTGGGAGTCTGCAGGCTGGTATCCGGATTACTAGGAGTTTACAACTGCTCTAATATTCTATCGAAAGGACTTTTAGTGGTATAAATTCATCTCATAGCTTAGAGCATTAGAATATACAGACGAAATGGGGAGTGAGCGAGCCCTTACCTCACTAACAGTCGATTCTTATGCCTGGTAGCAGGTAATAGACACGACTTGTTAATATAGAATAGTATGAATAGATAAATTCTTAAGAAGACTGCAAAGTTTTAAAAAGAATATAAATATACTAAGAAAAATAACAGAATGTTATATGCCTAAAGTGTAAGCTATATCTAACATTCTTTTAGCATATTTAAGTAGTGTTATAGGGAATGCATTAGTATAGAAAGAGTAGTTTAGTAGGGTCTTAGTAAAAGTAAGCAACTTAGGTGTGTAAGCAACTTGCCTATGAAGTATGTTAGCTTTAAAATAAAAATTGTCACGGTTATGTTACTGCTATCCAACCCCTGAGTACCCTAAGGGCTTGGCACGAGGTATATAGGCTCCTCGGCCTCCGTACCTCTGCCTCTGACCCTAAGGTTTACTCTCGTTACCCTCCTATCCTGTATTCCCTCTCTGTGACCTGTGTTTCCTACTTAATACCTCTTACAAAAATAAAGTAAAAATAGCTAAAAAAGCGTGTATAGTTAAAATAAAAGTATATAGTAGTAATAGTAATAAAAATTTACTTATAAAAGCTTAAAATAAAAGCAGCTTAATAAAAAAAAGTAAAGCTTATTTAGTAAGTTAATTAATAGCTTAAAAACAGCATTTAGTAACTAAAATAAAGTAAAAAGAAATTTTTTAAACTTATTAGTTACTAGTATATAAAAAGATGTTAATAATTTAGCATGAAATAAAAAGAAGTAGAATTAAGAAAAACTTAATATAGTAGCTAAATTAATCTTTCTAAAAAGTATTATATATAGATTATTACTAGAGATAAACTCTATAACGTACTTCATAGGCGAGTCGCTCACACACCCGAGTCGCTCACTTTTGCCAAGACCCCACCCTAACAAACTCTATTATAGCCTATAACAACCTGCTCTAGCACTATATAGTACAGTACAGCCTAGAATATTATTTAGATACTACTTCTGCTTCTTGCTTACATGTTTGTGCGTTATGCCTAGTCTAATTACACTATCTGCAGCGCCTTTAGGATAGCTTACCTACTTTAGCTTGCACCTGCTTCTTTGCCTTCTTTCTATTACTGCGCGCTTTAAACTCCTTTAGAGCTATTAAGCGTAGGCCTTCCTAAATTATTAAGGTTTTTTCTGCCTTAATTTACTTTCTTTTATGCAATTTATGTTGTGTAGCAGCTTTATTAGCTGCTTAAAGCTTAGTAATTTCTTATTACACTAACACTAGCTTATACGTAATTATTACTACTCTCTTTAAAACTTTCTTAAACACCTTAACTATAGAAGTTAGTAAACTATTTATATACTTCTAAATTTTTATTTTTATAAGCATTAATTATAACCTAAGTTCTAGAGTATTGCTTAGGGTTTATAACTGCTAAGGCTTGTTGTATATAAGTAGTAGTAGTAATAAAGTGCGCAACTTTACATTAAGGCCTATTATAACTTATTATAGGTTAAAAAGAACTAATCTAGCACCTTAAAACTCTTCTTAGATATTACTAAAAGTAATTATAGCATTATAGGCTACTTTAAAGCATAGCAGAAATTTTATTTTTATAATATAAGTAATCTAGTTGCGTATAAGGTTTTTAGCTTAGCGCTTATACGCCTTTTTTAAAGGAGCAAAACAACCTACATTAAGTAGCTATAGAAGGTGTAATAAGTAAAAAGGCATATAGATAGTAATAATCTTATTATTTTTATAGTATTACTAGAAATAAAGTAAGTTATAGCTTTTATAGCTGTTAATAACTAGCAGACAGTAGCTGCTAACAGTACACTTCTTTATATGCGCGTTAAAGTGCTTTAACTAGTCTAAACTAAGCTAATTAGTAGTCTAGCTGCGCTTAGAGATTACAATAACCTAATCCTAGAGTAGATTTTCCTCTTTGTACTAGTTTAAAAGGTAGTTACTACCTTAAAAAATAATAAAGAGCAGAATAGCCTACCCTTTAGCATTAATACCCTAGATAGCTGTTGTCCACTTCTAGTTGCCTAGCTAGACTGCTTTTAGCTGTCCTTGTCTCTTTAAACCTGTAACAACTACTCTAGTAGATATCTAGCCTATTATAAACTCTGTCTTATTAAAGTTGTACATGTTATTATCCTAGATGCTATACTTAGCTTTAATATTCTTTATAAGGTTAAACTAGCCTTAAATTACTGCAGAATCTTTATAAAAGGCTCTCTTATAGTTATACTTGCGCTTAAACTTTACTTTAAGCTCTAAGTAACACTTAACAAATGTATTAGGCTAGTTTATGCTAATATAGCCTATATTACGCTTAGCGTGTAAAGAATTAGCTATATTAGCTACAGCTACTAGCTAGGGGGGAAATCCTTGCGCATCTAGCTTAAGTATGTGCTAAACAATTACCTGCTTCTTATTATTATCTAGCTTTTATAAGTTAGCTATATAATTAGCTTAAAAAGGTTGTCTAGCGCGTTAGTTACTTATTATCTTTTAAAAGACCCTATAGATAGCTGCAGCGTGTTAGTTAGAAAGTGTTGCATTTTATTTAAAAGCCTAAAGTGTAAGCTACATTTAATGTTTCTTTAACATGTTTAAGTAGTGTTGTTAGGAATACATTAGTGTAGGAAAAGTAGTGTGGTGGGGTCTTAGCAAAAGTAAGCAACTTAGGTGTGTAAGCAACTTGCCTATGAAGTACGTTAGCATTTATAGCTAATATAGCTAATTCTTTGTGTGCTAAGTATAATCTAGGCTATATTTACATAAACTAGCCTAGTATGTTTATAAAGTGTTATTTAAAGCTTAAAGTAAAGTTTTAAGCATAAGTATAGTTAAGAGATATTTAGCTAATTATAAACTTTATTTTACTAAAGTTATACATGTTATTATTCTAGATGCTATACTTAGCTTTAATATTCTTTATAAGGCTAAACCTGCTCTAAATTACTCTAGAACTTTTATAAAAAGCTTTTTTATAGTTATACTTATACTTAAATATTACTTTAAGCTTTAAATAACACTTTATAAACATACTAGGCTAGTTTATGTAAACATAGCCTAGATTATGCTTAGCGCACAAAGAATGAGCTATATTAGCTATAAATGCTATTTAAGAGGAAATTCCTTGCGCATATAGCTTAAGTATAGTCTTAATAATTACTTGCTTTTTTTTATTACCTAGCCTTTATAATTTAGCTGTAGAATTAGCTTGTAAAGGTTATCTAGTGCTATAGTTATTTATTATCTTTTATAAGACCTTACATATAGCTGTAGCATGTTTCTTTAAAAGTTTTATGTCTTATTTAAAAGCTTAGAGTGTAAGCTGTATCTAACATTTTTTTTAGCGCGTCTAAGTAGTGTTATAGGGAATGCATTAGTGTAGAAAGAGTAGTTTAGTAGGGTCTTAGTAAAAGTAAGCAACTTAGGTGTGTAAGCAACTTGCCTGTGAAGTACGTTAGTTTATTATTTATATAAGTCTCTAGAGCTTTAAAAATTAAAAGGGCAGATTGCTAAAATAATACAATACGCAAGGCTACACATTACACGCTAAAGAACAGTAACTTAGTTAAACTAGTGTCTTAAAATAAGTCTGTAAAGCTACATTTAAGATTCTAGAACTTATTATTAAGGCGTTGTTGAGATATTAAGGTACAATTTCTCTCATTTTTAGTAGTTTTCGGGGTGGCCCACTGACAGATGTGACCTACTGAGTGGTTGAACATGTTAACTAGTTTGATCAAGCTTAGTCAATGATGACTTAGCTCTGGCTAGGGCTCTGATGATCATTGCACTCACTATGCTTCTCATCATCTTCCCACGACCTTCAGCTCCCACGACCTTATTGGCGGAAACGTTATCAGCGCAAACCCGCAACCTACCCACATCCCGACATCCGCTCCCGTATCGCCCGCCAATATCGCAATAGGACCCACATACCAGACCTGATACATTCCTAGTACCGCACCCATCCAGCCAAGTAAGAAACTGGAAAGTGCTGCAATACCAATAGGAAGCCTCGTCCTATCTTCCCAAGCAGTCCAGTCGAATCCAATACCCCGACGCCATCTGAAAAGAACATGCTCTTCGGCGACGATGCACACCATGATCATGAGCCAGTATCCCATAAGCGCGAGAAAGTTCTGGAAGATAATGAAGAGTTGATTCCGCCCAACGAGAGCGCAGACGAGCTGTATGAGAACGAGGACGATCGCCCATATCCAGCGGGGTATGACCTTTCCGTAGCGACCCATCATCTGGCATCCTAGCGCCGCTGAGTAAGTGCCGGGAACGCTGTTCGCGATTACACCAAGAGCTACGATAACGGCACAAAACTTGCCAAAGCTACCAAGAGGTGCATAGCCAGCTGTGATCAGAGCACCTGATGAAGTCGCGTATGCATCTGCCCAAGCTGAATGCGTGGCTACACCTGAGGCGAGGCCGACACCGAGCATGTTGACCAGGCTGAAGGAAAGAGTCAGGCCGGTGTAGGTGAACACAAATGTTCGCCATTTCGAAGTCCTTTCGGGATAGTATACGTAAAAGTCCGAAGCGGCTGCTGCCCAAGAGTTTGGGACGTAGAAGCAAAGCGAGAAGAATGAAAGACGATTTGCGGCGATCTGCCGTGGGCTGCCGACCGATGTGAGGGACGTTGAGAAGTATGGACCCGCGGAGCCGATGAGTATGAACAGTACGAGAAGCTGCGGAAGCCAAGCGTATCTGCACAATAGTAGTGAGCATGCAGCTGCAGAAGATTAGTCAAGGCCAAGTGCATACATACCGTTCATAGACGTGGAAGATCTTCAAGCCAATCACAGCAATGACAAGCACCACGATTGCGACAACTACAATGCCTACTGCAATGGACATGGTTCCACCACTTACAGCAGAGAGCACTTGACCGCCAATGATGCAATCTATCGTGCAATATCCCACCATCAGGATGATGTTGAGCAAAGCACAAATTTTAGAAGGATAGTAGCCCATGAAATATCGACCAACCACCTAGAGCAATCTCAGCTACAGTATCCATGAATGCGTCGTCGAACAAGACTTACCATCGTCCGACACCCGCTTGCCGCACCCCAAGTGGCCATATATGCAGTACTAACCCCTCCCAAAGCTGCGCCAAAGACCGCGCACAGGCTCGAATCTAGAAAACCAAGTTTAAAGAGAAGGGGACCAAGAAGACCGACAGCGAGATTATTGATCGTAATGTTTGCACTAAACCAAAGCAACACCATCTGAACAAGGGCCACGTGAGATGTGGCTTCCCGTTTGTCCGATGGAACCCTAGCAATACCGCGCGCCTCGAAACTGGAGAGCGATTCGATTCGGGCGTTCCATCTTTGAAATCGCGAACCTAGGCCAGTTGATTTTGGGGAGGAGCTTGATTGGAGATTTGAGAGATCGACACCCTCTTCGTGGTTCGGGTCGTTTACCCGCACAACCTTTTCATCCATTGAAACGGGCTGTTGAATCAGTGCTGAAGTTCAAGACGCGAATGATTGAGGCTAATAATGTGGTTAGCAAAGGTGTTGAATGTGCGAAACTCGTCGAGTTTCGGAGGAAACCGCGAGCCCGGCTAGCTCGTGGTTCTATACGGAGGGTTTGGGATGTGGGGATCAATGCGTTCTTTTGTCCCACTCTTTCCCAAATGGGCGGCATGCATGCAAGCTTTTCTCCTGACGTTCCAATAAGTGGGCTTGACTTTGACTCAGCCACGCAGCAGCTACCAAAAAGTGCTCTGTGCACAAGATCCTGCTCTGCGTACTTTAGTCAGCTGTTAGTCACAACCGAGAAGTAGCAATGTCTCTTCAAAGATCTCATCACTCTTTCTTTATTTCCGCAGAAATTTAAATCTACGTAATAAGACTTATAGTAGACAGGCAGGCTATAATTTATTACCTTGTGCGGAGAGAATCGTCACTTCTTGAATGGTTGCAAGCGTATTCGGGCTCTGGGACAGCCTTGTTGAACCAACACCAAACGTCGTGCACAGGACGAAAATGCAACCTAGGAAGCGGTCATCTAGTGGAAAACGATAGCACTTCTCTACCACAAAAATTAACTTTGTTGCAGAACAAAAAGTACAATTTATATTAAAATTACAAAAATCCACCTATTTATTACATCTTAACCTTATACAACACGTTTTAATTAACGCTTTGTAATTGCTTTATAGGTGCTCTTCTATAAGCTACTACTAACATAAAGAAATAAAAGCTATTATTTATTAAAAAGTAGTTCTTTATTTACTAAATCTTAAACTTTAATTAATAAAGTTTTCTACTCTATACTATTAATATATATTAAATAGCAGACGTTCTACTACAAGCTTATAACTAAGATTCCCCCCTCTAAACCTATAAGTAAGAACTAGGTGTTATGCTTTATTAATAATTAGGTAAAGCTTTATAGAAAGTAGAATAAAAAGCTACACTATTAGCACACTTTTTTATTAGAATTTAGTTAAGTTAACGCTTAGTTTAATCTTAAAAATAACACACACTACATGTATAAAATACTAGTTTAATATACTTATAATTTTAATAAAATAAAACTTATAATAAAAGTTGCTAGTATATCTAAGGTTATAACTAGCTCTAACACTATTAGCTATGTAGTTACTATATAGTCTAGCAGTTATAACTAAGTTATAAGAATTAAGTATATTAACATGTCTAGCTAAGCGCTTCTACTATCTATTATTCTACTAGGCAAGCTAAATTAGGCTAGGATTGCAATATCTATAGCAACTAAATACTTATAATAAATAATAACAACTAATTAACTAAGTAGCTTAGTCTATTTTAGCTTAAGCACTTTAATAATTAAACTATGCTACATATAACTAAAGCCTATTACTAGCTTATGTTAGACAGCTATAGTAGCTATATAACACTAAAGTTTAATTAATACTATATAGAAAATAAAATTATTTATTTTTATATACTATGTTATAGCTTTTACTTACTATATCTTTTAAATATTAGCTACTTTACACAACTTAAGTAAGTGTATAAACATAAAGTGTTAAAGCTTATATATAATTATATTTTTTATATTAATAAGTAGAACCTTTTTAGCACTTATAAGTGTATTAAACTTATTTTATTTATAAAGTAAAGTACTAAAAGTAGTCTTAAGTAATAAGTTTAGTTTTATACTATTTAAATTATATTTTATTATTACTTTTTAAAGTTTAAACACTGCTTTTACTAGTGTACGAAGCTAATAGTAAAAGGCGCTAGACTATCACAACCTTTTATATAGTTACTTAGCTTTAGCAGTAGGCTTAACTAATTTATAACTACTCTAGTTATTAATTATAAAGCTTTATAAGCTAGACTCTTACTTAGCTTATTATAAAGTGTTAAATAGTAATGCATTTTATAGTTATTCTTATAAAGAAAAACACTAAGCTTTATTAAATAAACTATTATAAAAAGTAAAAAAAGTAATTAAGATAGTTGTAAAGATAGAATAACTAGTAGGTAGCACAGATAGCACTAAGAGCAAGCTTTTAGAGAAAGATAGGAGTGTATTGTAAGAGAGATATATCGCTGCTAAGCCTTGCTTATTAAGATTTATGCTTATATACAAAGCACAGGTCATATAACCTCTAAACAGGTTAGAGGAGGCTATACTAGCCTGTTCTAGGACATCTAGCCTTACATTATCCCCTCTTATAGTAGTCCTACAACTTAGAGGATAGAATAGATAATAATAGGCCTAAGTAGCATAATAAAGTATTATATAATACCTTAAAAGCTTACTTTTACTTATTTTAGTTAATTTAATATAAGTTTATTTAAAAACAGCTTAAAGTTATTAAGTAAAAGTAAAGTAAAAGTATAAAGTAAAAGTAAAGGTAAAATAGTAGTATATCTTATATAGATAAAGTTGCAGTTAGGATAGTATATATAGAGTCTAACTATTCTAAAAGTCTATCTTTTTTATACTTTTACTCTCTTTATAAGTTAGAATTTAAAAGATTTTAAACTTTTTAAAGTAAGTATATTCTAAGCTACTCTAGTGTAATCTAGTGTAAAGGGGAGCTAAGAAGCTTTAATAGTCTTATTTTACTTTACTTACACCTGCCTATTACTTAATCTACTTTTAGCTTTTTTTTTATACTTAACTTTACTTAATAACTTAAAAATAGACTTTTATAGCCTACTTTATTATAATTTAGCTATAGTTTTCTTTAAAAAAAATTAATTAGCTATAGCTAATATAAGCTTATATTCTAATAACTTTTATATTTAATGCATTAATAAAATGTTTTATAAAAGCATTATAGATAAAAGTAGTAGCTATTATATACTTATAAACAACAAGTTACATTATAGTATAAAAGAAAAAAAAATTAAGTACATAAAGTAGACTTATTACTTTAAATTTAGTAAAAAGTTCTTTAAAGTGTGTATTCTAGCTCTTTCTAGTGTGTTTACGCGCAGTCTGTCTATGCTAACCCTAGATAGCTCCCTGTCTTCTTTAAACCTAAATAATAGGCTTTTAAAGACACTGTCTTTAATGTTTTGTCTCCTATTAATCTACTTAATTCTACTTAGTTAGTGTAGGCTAACGTAATAGTTATGTTGTAGGTAAACACTATTATTTAGTTTCTTTAGGCGTAAGTCTTTCTATTACAGCACAATCTAGCTTAATTAGCTCTATTCTATAATAAAGGTAGTAGTATATTATAATAAAAAAACCTTTATAAGCTAGAAAATTTAGTAGCTAGCTATAAAGGCTAATAAGCTAGCTAAAGTAGATATATAAGATTAGGTATTACAAGTCTATTAGCAAGCACTACTAACCTATGTAAAGTACTACGTGTAAGGCTACAAGAAGACTTAATTATAAAAGTAATTAGAAATATTTTATGTAACATACACTATAGGCGAGTTGCTTATACACCTAAGTTACTTACTTTTACTAAGACTCTACTAAACTACTTTTCTTATACTAATACATTTTTAATAACACTACTTAGATGTGCTAAAAGAACATTAGATATAGCTTACACTTTAGGCTTTTAAATAAAATATAACACTTTTAAAGCAACATGCTATAGCTATATATAAGGTCTTTTAAAAGATAATAAATAACTAACATACTAAATAACTTTTATAATGTTATAATTAGCATGCTTAAGCTACAAGCAAGAGGTTGTGTAACCTAACTAGATTAAACTAAGGAGCAGAGGAGCTGCTCTGCGAGTTTAAGATATACATGTGTGCCCCCTGCTAAGGCGCTACTTGTTGCGCAAGCGAGGGAGCTTGAGTCGCAGAGCATGTAACGCGGTACACGCTGTCACATATAAGCTAATTTTATAGCTAACTTATAAAAGCTAGATAATAATAAAAAGTAAGTAATTATTAAGCACATACTTAAGCTATATATATAAGAATTTTCTTTTTAGCTAGTAACTATAGCTAATATAGCTAGTCTTTTACATGCTAAGTATAATTTAAGCTATATTAGCATACATTAGCTTAGTATGTTTATAAAGTGTTATTTAAAGCTTAAAGTAAAGCTTTAAGTATAAGTATAGTTAGTAAATATTTAGCTTAACGTGTTTCACCACCGAGCGGGCGGCACTACTAAGCGGGCGGTTTTTGCTTAGCACAACTATCTCCCTTATCTACCTAAGATGTCTTAATAACGTAATGTAATACTATCTAATTAAAAAGGCAGAATTAATCTTACTCTTAATGCCTATTATACACACTAAATTTAGAGCCTCTAACGCGCTGCTAGTACATTTAGTGTACCTTTTTAACTCTTAAATATTCATACTATAGATGTGCTTATTAACCACTTGCACCCTCTAATAGCTAAAAGCTTACTTTTACTAAAAAGAAAATAGTTATTTAATACATCTTTAACCTTAACACATAAAGTTTTACGCTTTTAAAGGCTAAAGTTGAAAATATAGCAAATAAAATACTAGCTAAGTAGAGTGCAGAGCTAGTAAGTAAGAACTAGGTAGATAAGTTTATAGTATGTAAAAAAAAAGCTTAAGATAACATTTAATTATATAAAAAACATTTAGAAAATTAAGTAAAAATATTATAAAATTATAAGCTTATAGTTTAAGCTTATAAAAAAGATAATAGCTAAGTATAGTGTTTATAATAATAATATATATAACTTTAATAAGACTAGCTTCTAAATAGAGGTTATTAGCTTTATAAAAGTTATTATAAGCTTAGAAAAGCGCATAAGGCTTAATCTTAGCTAGCTAGGTAATTAGAAGTAGGTAACTGTTATTTAAAGTATCTGCGCTATAAGGTAAGCAATTCTGCCTTTTATTATTTATAAAAAACACATCTACATCTTAGCATAGTACAAGGAGGCTAATATACTTTATAATTAAAAGCTCTTAGTCTTTAATAATAAATAGATAAATAATAAGCTAAGAGTTATATAGTTAAAGCACTTTAACATGCATATAAGAATGTGTTAAGTAAAAGTATATTAACTACTTAATTTAGATAGTTATAAAAGCTATTAATCTTAGAATTTTAAAGACTACTACTTAAAATAAAAGATCTTTATACTTTATATACCTGC